TTAATACAGATATACCTTTTATTGAACAATATGTGCGTTGTCGACTGTCTTATATACACAGAGTTTCTCCGTAGGCGGAGCTACACGATATTCCTCTGTTTGTAATCCCTAAGGATTGATGGCGCGTTGCGAAGATCTCTTTCTGAGACCCATGAGTCGTAGTGAGGGTTATATCCCTTCCAGCGTACCAGGTAGTGGAGTTTACGGGTTTTCCTATCGAACTTGTGCCCCACCAGCTTCTCGACCTTGTACTCCTCTGTTTCTTTTTGGTGCACTCTGGTTTCCGGAAGGGCTTCGCGTTCTCCGAATTCTGATGGCGACATAGAGTACTTTTTGAGATGTTCCACGTTGAAGATTGGAAGTCCTGGATACTTGTCGCTCATCCTGAGTCGGTAAACCTTTGGGTTCACTCTCTCCATGACTTCGAACGGGCCAATCCATCTTTGCACCAGCTTGGCTCCCTCTCCTTTCGCTTCCATCCATTCCAACAAGTGCAGATTGACTAGGACCAATGACCCTACTTCGAACACTTCCATTCTTCTCCCTGAGTTGTAAGTTTCCGCCTGCTTGACCTGCGCTCGAGCTATAGCGTCTCGTGCGGCACCTCTGTGCATGGCCATCGTCTTCAGGAAACTATTGGCTTGTTCGTTCTCTGAGTAGGCCCGACTGCTTGCTGGCCCTTCACCTAGGAAGTCTATCGGGGCTCTTGGGTTGAATCCGTAGAGAAGGAAATAAGGCTTAGCCTTGGTCGACGAGTGAGTGGTGTTTTTGGTGTCTTGTACCAAAACCATGAGCCCTTGCTGTATCTACTACTGGCCTGATAAAATGTTTATAAGATATCTAAAAACCATCTCAGCATGTAAGAAGAGCGAAAAGAAGTAAATTAACTTCAAATGTGAGTCATCTTCCGGCGTGAGCACGAAAACACGAGTATGCCCCATAATAAGTCAGTTCAAACGTGTTCGGTCTAAAAATTTGATAGTGTTGTAATATAAACTACATCATGGTATTCCAAGAAATCGAAGACTACAGGAAAAGTACGCTGTCTTGTAGAATGTGTATTAGCAGATGATCAGTTTGCGCCACGTCTGTCCAAAAGCGGAAATCATGCCACCTCCTCCTTGTCGCGCCAGTCTTTGCTAATTAGGGGGGTCAGTCCTTGATCACGCAGCCTCATAAACACCATGGAGACCCTCCAATTTAACTCAGATTACTGGCGGCAAAAAATTCCTGGCATGCAGAACTATGATATCAAGACAAAACTTCATCTTATTCTATCACTGGTCATATTCCTGTCCATATCCATTCAGTGTCTCCTCGAATACATATTCTCTACCAACATCATGGCTGTCAAGTCAAGAGCATCCCTCTTTATGTCCCACAAACCGTCCGCAAATACTTTGGATGGCCAATTCTACCCATCAATGATCTACAGACTGTGGCACACCCTGTGGCCCAATGTGCCGGGGCAATTGCACAAGATGATTCAGCTGTGCGCGCACAAAATCGTGCTGGGGGAGAGCAATGCCATCATTAAGGACTCGATGTTCCAGATCCGGATCCAGCGCCTCACAATGCAAGGTGTCCGCAAGCTTCTTCAGCCGAAAATACTGGTAAAGAATCAGATTCAGAGGACAAAAAAGACTGGGGGAAAGGCTATAGTGGTTTCAGTCAGGACCCTGTCTTTGTGAGTATCATATCTCTTTGCAGATTGATCTGGACTGACCATAAGTGTATAGGCTATCGTGCTGGCAATCAGCATGCACTGCGGGCATCGGTCCCTGAATCAACAGGAAACATTGTGAAAAATATTCAAAACAGAGAGACTATGTTTTTGGCACAAGATTTTGCCCAAAACATAGATGAAAACATTGTAAGTCTGGGCCAAATGTGGAGAATATTCACAATGCGCCGGGCAAAAACATTAGTCAGAAACATTGTCTCTCCGTTTTCGATATTTTTCACCATGTCTTCTCACAAATCATTGATCGATGCCTGCAGTGATGCTCACATTCGTGCGAAACTGAGCCACCAACCTACTTCCACTGATCCTGGGGTTGTTCTTCAAGATATCGGGCACAAGTCTGCGTGTTATGAAAATGCTCAGTAATGTGGGCATCTGTGTGTCAAATCAAACCATTGAGCGGCTGAAAACTTGCATATCTGAGGGTGCCATCCAATTGGCGGTAGAGCTAATCACAAGTGGACAACTGTTCTTTGTCATCTTTGATAACATTAGTATATTTCTTTGCAAGAGTCAGCAACAACTCACCAATCTCAACACGATGATTCACACTACAAATTTGGCCATTACCGCATTGCCCAGCATCAGCGTCACAGCTGAAGACCTCACTGCAAAGCACGTGCTACGGGGGGAAAGAGTGATGGGGACCAATGAAGATATCAGTCCTACACCACAGGACGATGTGATTCTCGCCAACGAGTTCCAGGCATTGATTGCAGATATGCTGGTTCACTATGCACCCAGGAAGCCAGTGTCGCAGTGGGAGAACATGAAAGTGATGAAAGCTGAGGTTGCGGGAATGATGCTGGAAGATTGCCCATTGAAGGTCGAGATCACCAACGTGTGTCTTGCAGGGATCGAAACGACAACATTGATGGCATGGAGAGGGTCAATTATGTTGAGGAGAACAGTGCATTATATGGCATCACACACTACAGGCTAACCATATGATCATGTGTGCCCACTATGGCCATGCTGTGGAGGATCACATAGTGCGAGGGCGTTGAAGTGGTGTTGTGTAAAGAGAGAGACACAATGTGCCAATTACAATTGGCATGTCTCACAGTCATCTTAAATCATTCTGTGGCTTGGTCAGCCGCTCTCATGACTATATAAACACTGATTCAGATGTATTTTACTTTGTAAAGTACTGGGCCAGACAGATATTCCATTTATTGATGATCCCATCGCGCCTAGCGCAATCTGCTGTATGCTCTTAAAAGTGCGTTTTTGCACTCTTTGTATCTCCTGTATCTTGACTCCTTCGTCAGCGGTAACAATTCTGAATAGAGGGAAATCTAAGTTTACTTCAAATCTACCGTTATGCCACCAACACCTCAAACTTCTGCTCAATCCCTGAATCTCAATTTTGATTCTAACATCCTGCCATTTTCAGGGATCTTGGAACAAGCCCCTTTCACAGAAGGTGAGTGAAGCTCAAAAACATCACATGAAACGCAGCTTGTTCCGAATCTAGCATTGAGTAATGTTATTCATGTGATATCATGCATCAGCAAAACCTGATGTGTCTATCCAGACTGGACAGATGGCCATAGACACTCACAGAGCCACAGAGCCCATAGGTAGGTGTACGGCGCGGCAGCTCTGGACAGACTGCCGCGACAGCTTGACAGACTCGCATACGCCCTGGACAGAGCCCGACAGACCCCCATAGGCACTGCACAGACACTCACAGACACATAACCAGTATGTTCAGTACTATGTTCAATGTTACACATTTCTATAATAGCATCACACAATTGCAAGGTAGTTAAAATTTTTTCCATTAGGCGAGTATCAACATGGAAATAAGTTATATGTAAACCACTTTTGATTAGTTATGCTAGTGGAGGCAACATGTGGGGGAAGATAGGCAGACACTGTTATAAAGTTGGACTTTGAGACAACTATGCAGTGTCAGAGGCTGGGGAAAGGAGTGTGGTTGAGGGCAGCAAGCAGTAGCATGATAGAGCGTGCACACGGTTTGAGCACTGGCTGGAAGTAAGACTCACTGTAAGCCTGGCGCCACAGGCTTCCCGTTTTAGATACGATTTCCCACGCTTTTCGTTTACTTTCGAACTGCTCTGCAGTTCTCTCCTCTTAGCTTAGGCCTTAGCTCATCCTGTCACTACGCTCTGTTTCAAATGATACACTGGTCTTATTTTCTGTTTCTGGTTTGATCTTGCTTCTCTGAGTGTTTCCTGCTACTTGATGTAGCAGGTTTCCACTCACGTTGTTGACTTGTCCTCTACACTGGTGTCATTGCCGAGGTTGGTCCATTGGCTAGCGAGGGATTTGAACAAGAAGCTGGCCGAGGTGTTGAGTGTCATGGGCAAAAAGGCTGTGTCAGGCCAAATCTGAATGTGATGGGTTAGTGTATGTGAAGGAAATGGGCACTGGTTTACATTGCAGAGCACACTTGCCATTGGACGATTTGAAACCTGTATAGATGGTGTGTGTAAGCGTAGATACAAATGCAGTGTTGATGTTTGCTTACCTTAGGTTGACGGCGAGTGCAAAGGGAACAGGAAGAGAAAGGAAGTGGTGCAAAAGCAAGGACAATAGGCCATTTAGGGCAGGCATGAGAGTACTTGGGGGATTTTACAGATTTCGAGGTTGATATAGCCGAAAGACAAGCAGACAAGGTGTAGCTAAATACATAGAAGTCGACTAAGCTGTGACAATCGAAATGGGCACTGGAAAGCACAGGCCCCGGTCAGTACAGCTTTGTCGGCCTCTGTGCACTCTACGGCGGATCTATGGCTGCTGTCGTGCTCCATGAAAAATTCTAACATCTGTGAGTAAAATCAGGTTTTGCTGATGTGTGATGCAGCTGGATATGGACTGGGTCTATCTTCATACAGGAAAGTGGCTGTGGCGACCTGGTACTGCATTAGTAAAATTTATTTTTTTGCTTATTTTTGCTTGAGAAAAGGATATCTTAAGAGATTCTTAAAATCTGCTTTGACTACTCAGAACAACCTGAAATGCAATAAAGAGTTCACTCAAAACAGCTCTCAAGATGTCCTCTGCAAAAAGCAGACATAAGTAGCTCAAGTGCCCACTAAGCAATATATATATATATATTACTGATGTGAGGGCCCACTTGATTGTGATAAGCAAAGGTTGCCAGTGTCATTGCTCATATATTATAGTGTAGGTCCCACACCACTCAAAGTGCATCACATCTCCTGTCAAAAGGAGTCTGTAAATAAGCTGTGCAAATAATACAGACAATGGTACCATTGTTCTTTATGGCCGCCTGGCGAAATGGCATCGCGTCTGACTACGATAGGGGTTCAACCACAATTATCGATAATCAGGAGATCGCAGGTTCGACCCCTGCGGTGGTCACTTATTGCTTGTTTTTATGCTACAAGTTTTGGTTTAAGAGCTTTTGAAGCAAGGAGAAAAGAAAAAAGAGAGGGAGGAGGAGAACATGCCAGGGTATGATCATTCTATTGATCCTGGTGGATATTGAACCCTCAAGTCAAGCAAAAGCCAGGCCTACTGCCGCACATACTGGCCTGCATCCAGGAGGTGGTGCACATAATGAAGCACATCCAGGAGCAGACCACAATGATGCTTGAGATCAAAAATGCACATGTTGCAAGGGGCCCGTCAAGGCATCATCATGCCAGCTGCCACCAATGCGCTGATAAAATACACACAACAGGCTGGTGTTCACAAGTCATCATTGTTCACAAACAAATGAAAAATGCCTCATGTGTGCCTTGTCAAGGCAATTCCAGATATTTAATTTTCGCCAGAAATGCACAAGATTTGAGGAAGATGCAAGTGATCCATTGTGAAATGAACGAAATCACGAAAGAGCAACACACCCCAATTCTGCAAACAGTTGTATGATTTCTCCAGTCATGCAAAGCCTGGTATATGTACTGAGAAGTTTGTTTATACTATGTCTGTTGGCCTAGAAGATACAGACACACATACATCATAAATTCATATACCTGTGAACACAGCATGTTCCAAGCTTCTATAACTTATTACTTTTCCGGCAGCTACAAATCTGTCACCTTCGCGGTGGCATGCGACAAGAATCTTGGGCAGACGCCGGCCCGGGAGAATCGGAAGCGCATCGAATACACGTGGGAAGATGTCCATTGCCTTGGCTTGGCCATACAGCCCGACTTGATGTGTGCGAGTGATTCACAGGGAAGCGAGCTTCGATCCGAGTGTCATGATCAGCTCATGCACAGCACAATCTGCAGTAATTGTGGACACAAGGAGATGTCCGTGATATAGAGTATCACGGTGGGATACCGACGCCACCACGGTCTCGCGCAGAATATGCGTTGTCACGGGACCGCACGAAAAGGGTCGCGTCGTCGTCGGATAAAGGCGTTGACGCTGCCCGGACGATTTCGGGCGACCCCGAGCCGGCCTTTACCTCGAGATCGTGCTGCACATGGATAGACGAGCGGAGGTTCACTCGAAGAAGCCCTTGAATAAAGATCAGGCAAGTGTGACAGGATTCACGTAGCTTATCATTAATGTGCTCCCTGTCTCACGAAACACATTATCCATGGCCCACGGGTGCTGATATTTGTCTGCGCATGCGGTAGAGTCTATCAGGTAACTAAAGCCTATCTCCTACGCGCCAAACGTCAGAATGGACGCTCCGAAGCGCACCGTCGCTGGCTGATGCTCGGAAGCATTGCTGCAAAATACGATACCCCGAAAACAAGCCCAGATAACGGCGAAAGGGCGAGGCGGCGTTGAAAGTGAAAGCAGCAGCACATACGCAAAAAATTGTCCTTGGCGAGTGGCCCGCCACTGGTCAGAAGCACCGAGAGCTGGGCGTTGCACAAAGTCGTTCATCGAGGAGGCAGCTTACTGTGAGTCTGGACAGCCAAGATCTTAACGCCACAGACAGAAGTAAACGGGCAGATTCGCTCACAAGGCGTTGGAATGCTAGATGCCATGCTGATTGGCTCTGATAGGTCTTTACGTTTCAGGTTCTCCGCCTGGTGACCTGGGTACGGCGCGCCCAAGGAACAGGTGAAGACAATCACATTGCATAGATGACGAGCCGCAATTGAGACCACCTGAGGTATGAGGCTTTTCGCGGGAGTGCAAACGCCCTGAAGGGCGCATTAAACCTAAATAACCTTCATGTACATCGGCAGGATTGGTGTCAAACTGTACAGCGTGAGCTGCCCATGAATTTCAGCAATATGACGTCGAAATTGACGAGCTCACAGGGTCGATGGATGTTGAATCTTTGGGGTAGTTGGTCAGGTTACCAAGAGGCCCTTTTACCGGTACGAAGCGAGCGAGTGCCGATTTCATGCGCCTCAAAGTAGAATTCCAAAAGCTGTTTTGAGATCTGGCTCCGAAAGGCCTATTAAGGCCTCGCACTGGCGCATCAAGCGCTTTATGGACTGGTAAATGCACGAAACGCTGCGCGCCGTCAAAAAGTGTCTGTTCATCAACACGGGACGACCGTGTTTGGTCCGAAAGCCATGTCACAGAGTGGAGACATCAGTTGAGTTCATTATTCGGTTAGTTCGTGATCTTACCACCTGTTCATTTCGTCGTAATTATCGGAATGAGCCATGGCGGGTGACCTGCGATTCTAGACGGGTGCCATTTTGGGAGAAGGCACCACCTTAGAATGACAGGTTTGAAGGTAAAGGTAACTAAAGCCGATAGATAATGAAGTTGCCTTGAAGGGATCTGCATCGCTTCAACTTGGAGCCCGTCCGCGGGGACAAAACAGCGCCGATTTTGTCAGGAACAGCGCTGAACCAGTATGCCTTCAGTTCCCCAGATACCAGCAACTACTAAGTGAACATCCACTCACGATGGCTCCATGATTCTGCTTGGTCAGGCAAGCGAATAAAGGATGGATCCGGGATCTGGACACCGGAGATACTGGATCTGGTCTCCTCAAATTATGTAAGGCAGACCCGAGATAAAACTACGTACATCGGTTGTGACAGCCCTTGTGTGAAACGCGGGTCGAGCGGGGCGTCGGTGCACAGCATCAACGAAAAGGTTGTATAGCGGCGATTGATGTTATGCAAAGCGAAGAGGCAGACAGTAGCAGCTAGACATGCAGGAAGTGCGAGTAGGAAGGTAACAGGCTAAATGGTGATCGGTTCGAGAGCTGTGCCTAGATCTCGCCAGCTTCCTCGATCTAACTGCCACTGACACTGTCACACACATGCGCTAGCTGCAAAGGAGCATGGAGTGCATGCGCACTTCATGGCAGTGATAGCATGAAACAGCGAACGGTATCCTCACTGAATCAAGGCTGTATCCGACCAAGATTAGACCTCGCAGGAAGCCTGTCTGAGTCGCGTTGACGCATGGCATTCCAACGCAGCTGGTGCACATATGATGGAATGGCCCAAATGGAACGGCCGTCGCATCCGTATGTACCGCAAGATCGTAATGACTGCTGTCAAAAACTTAATTCGGAATTTTAACAGGACAAGGAGAAACCTCCCCAGTCCACGGCGCACCGGCAGCACCGCTCTTAGCTGGAATTTCCCCGCGTTACAGTGTGTGACGCACGGTTCTATTTCCAGGAGGGCATATGAAGCATACGCTGCGTATGATTCAGACATCACGGGAGAAATGGCACAGGGTGCAACGCGGCAGGTGGCGATCGGCATAACCTGTTACATATATAAAGGTGGCCACCCAGATAGTATGGCCTGGTAGCTTCAGAGAGAGTTTGAGTTCGTCAAGGGCATATAACCAGGTCGAGAGGCAAAGATAATAGGGCGTAGGCCACGTAGCGAAATGCACGGGCCTCAAAGAATAAGAATGATCCTTGATTGTCGTGGTGACAGAGAATAATGGTGTGACTGTGACAAGAGGACTCTGTTGGTAACAGGAGACAAGGTCATTGCAGTTCCGCCGGGCTTACAAGCTTGTCTGGGCCGCCCTCCCCATTTCTCCCTCGTACCATCACCTCCCTCCGCTCAGAAATGTCGTCCGCCCTAGAGCAATGGCATTCCTCGTCGTCCTCGTCGTCTTCCAAGGCATCGACATCGACCACCCGGAGGTCAAGGAGACGGTTAGTGCACAACCTCTCACCGTGTGGGGCGCAACGTCGTCTAACCATTGGTCATCTATCTCTAGGACAAAATGGTCTCACGAAGACCTTATACTGGGTCTCTCGGTACGCTCCAGTTTGCCAGTTTTTCATTTTCAGGTGTTGACACCCCGCGGTCGCTGAAAAGATACTATCCAACCTCCCGGCCCCACCGGCTCCTGAACTACCTCCATCACCTCCTCTTTCCCGTTCCAACTCGCCCGCGCCAGGCGCCAAACGCAAAGCCACCAATAGCGACGCAGATCGCACCAAACGCCCTCGCACCAGCTCAGTGCCTGATCGGCCACCTCACCACCGCCTTCCGGCAACGCCCACACAGTCCGCCTCTCATTCCCGCTCTGCCAATGCTCAGTTCAATATACGTTCAGAGCCCTCGGAAGATGGCGAAGTTCGCGAGGAGGCGACCGCGTCGTCATCTTCTCACGCGCGTGCCAAATCTCCTGCGCCAGCCTCCGTACTGGCCAGCACGATGCCGATCCGCCGCCCTAGAAGAGAACGTCCCGACAACGCCCACTTTGATGATTTACACAAGAAGTACTATGAGATAGGCCGCGCTTTCAAGTTCTCCGGTGATGCTCGCTTCTGGTCCACATATCCGGCACACCATCGGGAGTATCGGCCCTTGCCGAAACCACCCCCTCCTAATTCCCCGTATCACAAGTTTGGCGGACTTATTGCCCGCTTAGAGCTTATGGATGCTCTGGTGTGCTTTACCTACTCTCTCTGGAGCAAGGAGTATGCTCGACGAGCCTGCTTCATCGACACATGGCAGACGGCAGCAGCCTTCTTGACATGGTGTAAGACGAAGTGGCAGTCAGATACCCAGGGCGAGCGGGAGACGGCATTCCAGGGATTGATGTAAGTTCTCATCAGCTTTATTGTGACTCCCATCTTCAACTTCCCTGTCAGCTTGATGATCGAGGGTTTCATCTTGGCGCGCAAGGTCAAATTCCAAGCTCGGCTAGAGAGCGAGCATGTCGACCGCTTGTGGAAAACGACGCGAGGCTCCATGCACGCTGCCGCGCGGGAAGAGGGCCTGAAATTATCGGCGGGCTTATTGTCATCCGGATCCTCACATCTAACGCCGCAAGGCTTGCCCTCACCCGCAAATAGTGCCCCCACTACCAGCGCACAGTCCACTCCTACCAATGTGGCAGACCGTGCTCACGATGGCGGCGCATCATCTTCACGCTCGCTCCTGGGCGCATCTCCCAACGTAGCACCGTCACTTCCTCCATTCCCTATCGAGTTTATGGACGGTGAA